ACAGACATGTTGAATGCTGTAACAGAGCACACGCATGCCTTTGTTCTGCCTATAGGAGGGTGTACTTCTGCCTCTGAACATTTGCTAACTATTTTCAAAAGTGCCTTGCACATGTTACTTTACTTTGTAGAAGAAAGGTACAGGCAGAACTGTCAGAATTCTGTTACAGCCACAGAATCCCCTCCGATAAAACGTCTGTGATCTGCTCTGTCATCTTCTGTATAGAAATGGCTTTAGAAGCTCTTGGAGAATTGTAGATGTTCTCAATGATAAAGCTTGTGTTCACCATTTGAGTTGGCGGCGCAGTGTAGTGGACAGTCTAGGATACGTGATGAGAGTAATAAGGAGGGAGGTGGTTTCTGAGTCAGAGTTCCGTAGATGACTTCTTACATTTTCTCCTGTAGTCCACAGCCTCATATCTTTTTCATGTACTGTTTATGGAGCGTCCTCCAGCAACAACATCATGGTTGAATTCTCTAAGAAGATAATAAATCATTTAGTAGCAATTTGGATGAACCTTCAATCCTCTTTGTAATTTTTTTCTTTAAGATCTTATTTTGTTTTTAATTATATGGCTGATTGTGGGTCTGTGTATGGATATATGCAGGTAAGCACAGTGCCCATAGAAGACAGAAGAGGGTATCATATCCTGGGAGCTGGAGTTAGAGATGGTTGTGAACCACCTGGCATGATCCTCTCTCCCTGAAAGAGCAGTAAACCTTCTTAACCATAGGCTCATCTCTCTGGGTGTATCTTTTGTAGGGAGGGTCTGATTATGGGTGTGCTTTATTTAATTTATTTTTCTTTTTTAAGTCATAAATGGGCTACTTTATTCTTTTGAAATCTTTTTAATTTAGAAACAGACTTATTTTACATATCAATCCCAGTTCCCTCTTCCTCTCAATCTCCTATGCCCTGCACTGACCTCTCTATCCACTTCCTAGGGAGGGTGAGGCCTTCCATGGAGGAATCATCAAAGTTTGTCACATCATTTGGGGGAGGGCCTAGGCCCTCCCCAGTATATCTAGGCTAAAAGAGTAGCCTTCCATGTGGAATGGGCTCCCAAAGTCCATTTGTACTCTAGGGATAAATACTGGTTCCATTGTCAGAGGTCCAATACACTGCACAGGCCTCCTAACTGATACCCACATTCAGAAGGCTTGGTCTGGTTCAATTCTGGATCCCCAGTTTTGTGACTGGGGTCCATGTGATCCCACTTGGTCAGGTCAGTTATTTCTGTAGGTTTCTTCAGCATGGTCTTGACCCCTTTGCTCATCACGCCTCCCTGTCTACAGCTGGGTTCCAGGAGTTTGGCTCAGTGCTTAGCTTTGGATGTCTATCCTCTTCTAGAATGACTTTTAAGGTAGTCATCTATCTCATTATAGGAGAAGGGCATTTAAGGTGGCCTCTCTGCTATCATTTAGGTTCTTCATTGGGGTTATCCTTGTAGATCTCTGGACATTTCCCTAGTGCCAGATTTCTCTTTAAACCTGTAATGACTTTCCTCTATTAAGGTATCTCTTTTGTTGCTCTCCTCTCTTCTTTCACCAACTCAGTCTTCCCGATCCTTTATGTTCTCCTCCCCCTTCAACAAATGATGCTGACATAACTGGATGCTGACATGTAGAAGACTGCAGATAGATCCTCATCTATCCATGCACAAAAGTTAAGTCCAAATGGATCAAAGACCTCAACATAAATCCACCCACACTGAACCTCTTAGAAGAGAAAGTGGGAAGAACCCTTGAACAAATTGGTACAGGAGACCACTTCCTAAATATAACCACAGTAGCACAGACACTGAGATTGACAATTAATAAATGGGACATTCTCAAACTGAGAAGCTTTGTTAAGGCAAAAGATACAGTCAACAAGACAAAATGGCATCACCCAGAATGGGAAAAGATCTTCACCAACCCCACATCTGACAGAGGGCTGATTTCCAAAATATACAAAGAAATCAAGAAGCTAGTTACTAAACACCAAATAATCCAATCAAAAAGTGGGATACAGAACTAAATAGAGAATTCATAGAGGAATCTAAAATGGCTGAAAGACATTTAAGAAAGTGCTCAACATCCTCAGCCATCAGGAAAATGCAAATCAAAACAACCCTGAGACACCATTGTACTGCTGTCAGAATGGCTACAATCTGAAATACCAATGACAACTCATGCTGGAGAGGATGTGGAGAAAGGGGAACACTCCTCCACTGCTAGTGGGAGTGCAAACTTTACAGCTACTTTGGAAATCAGTATGGTGGTTTCTTAGGAAAATGGGAATCAGTATACCACAGGACCTGACAATCCCCCTCTTAGGCATATACCCAAAGGATGCACATTCATTCAACAAGGACATCTGTTCAACAATGTTCATAGCAACATTATTTGTAATAACCATAACCTGGATATCTTTAACAATAACAATAACAATAGTTACCCTTTGCTGTAATTAACCCAGTGCTTCCCTAAGCACTTTATATAAATGATCATCACTCCTTATTCAGCATCACAGACAGAAAACTGTTAGACTCTTTATAGACAAGGTAGCTGAAGAATGTAGATGTTAAGCAAATGGGCTGGAGTAGAGTCAGAGTTTAAGCAAGAAGGAAAAACACATGAATGTTTACTAATGCCACCATCTTTGCCACATACAAAAACATCTCCTTTATTTTTTAACATAATTTTTTATTGATTCTTTGGGAATTTCACTTCAGGCTCCCCAATCCTACTCACCTCCCAGTCCCTCCATATCATCCCTCATCCTGCAGCATCCACATCTAAAGGACCCCCGCAAAATAAATGAAAAGCATACACACACACACACGCACACGCACACGTACACACACACACACACACACACCTCACCTCACTCCTCCATCTGTCCAACACATCTTCATTCATCCTAGTGACATGAGGAGCTTGAGGTGTGTCAGGCAGTATCCTTTTGTCCAATCAGCCCCATCCACAAAATGTTCCTTGCAATGACTCATGGGTCTGGTTCAAGTCCTTTGGCATACCATCATCACTGGACCCTCCCAGAAACCCCTCTCAGACATCTTTCTGTTGCCCTGAGTCATGGAGATCCTGCAGTCACCATTCCTCAGGACCAGTCACTTTGTGCACTCTAGCAGGTGACAGATGTGGAACATGGTAGGGTGGGCCAATCAAAGAGCCAGGATGTGCGTCTGGGTGACAGCTGAAAGGATTGGTTCAGGACTCTGGGACTGAACCCCTCAGGCAAGGGGCATAGCCACACTCTGTGGTGTGGGGCCATCTTTCCCCAATGTGGGAGCCAGCTCTCCTGTGCAGTATCCAATGGGTGAAGGGCCAAACACCCCAGAGACAGCGAGGGGCAGGGCTGGCTCAGCAAGGCCCTCAGATTTCAACATGCATGGTTCCTGTGACTCCCACTATGCCAACACTGGCCATGAACATCATCATAGAACCCAGCGAAAACAGGACCACAGGACTAGACATGGCCCTCAGCAGCAGCTCAGGCTCTTATGTCACCATGGCCATGGTGGCAGCACAGGCCACCCAGGCCAGTATGGCCACTGGTGGTAGCAAAGTCCCGGGATGCAAACATGATCTCAGGTAGCTGTACAGTTCTCAGTGGCAATAGGCGCCATGGATATCAATGCAGACCATTGGCTGTTGCTGGGCCACAGACACAAACATGACCTTAGTAGGCACAACCCTGGCCCGGAGATACCATAGCCCCAGGTGGCATCTCAGGCCGCTCAGATTAACATGCCTTTTGCCAACATGGCTCTCAAACATCAGCATGGCCCCAGATGGTGGCTTAGACTCCAGACATTGGCATGGCCTTTCATGGTATCAGGAGCCACACATATCAATACACACCCTGGTCAAGGTAGAGCCATGGACCTATATATGACCTTCAGCAGCAACCCTGGCATGGACCATACCATGGCCCTGGTGACTGTGTAGGCCACCCAATCCTGTGTGGCCCTGGCAGCAGCACAACCCTTGGGCACCAACATGGCCACAGGTTATAGCCAAGACCCTGGGCATTCATATGCCTTTGGTGACAACATGGGCCACAGACATCAAGATATATCCTGGCTATGAAAGAACTATAGACCCAGACAAAGTCCTCAGCAGTCTGGGTTTGAATGCCACCATTGCCCAGGTGGCAGCCCAGGCCACTCAAGTCATCATCACTCCAGCTGCAGGGTGGCTGTTGAAATCCAACTAAACTCTAGGTGTCAGCCCTAACCCCAGGCATCCATATGACCCCAATGGTAATAGGCACTGTAGACATCAATACAGACCCTAGCTGCAGTAGGATCACAGACCCAGAGGTAGCCCCCGGCAGCAGCTCGTGGTTTGATACCATGGTCACTATGGCAGTACCATCTACCCAAATCATCATGGCTCTAGCCATAGAACTCCCTGTAGTTGCCACCATGGCCACAGTTGATGACCCAGAACCTAGGAATCAGTGTGGCCGTTGGTGATGACTTGGGGTATACATGTCATCGCAGACTCCAGCCTCTTTAGGACCACAAACCAAACACAGTACTTAGAAACAACCTGGGCCTAGATGGCACTATGGCCTTTGATGTCAGAGTAGATCTGACATCACCTCAGCCAGAGGGTGGCCCTCAGGTGGGGGCCCAGATCCTGGGCATCCACAAGACCCCCAATGGTGACAGGCAACATGGACATCAACACAGGCCCTGGCTACAGTAGGGGCACAGACCCACACATGACCCCTGGGCTCAGATCAAGCCTGATGACACCATGGCCCTGGATGACAGCACAGACCAATCAGATTCGGAGAATCCCTGTTGTGACATGGCCCTTGATCACTTAATTGGCTATATGTGGCAGCCTTGACCCCAGGACTCCTCACAACCGTTGGTGGTAACAGGGACCAAAGACATCTACAGGACCACGGCTGCAGAAGTCCACAGACCCAGACATAGCCCTTGGCAACAGCCTAGGATCTGGTGGCTCAATGTCCCCATGTGGGAAAATATGGAACACTCCATGAATTTGCATGTCATCCCTGCAGAGAGGCCATGCTGATCGTCTCTGTATTGGTTCCGTTTCAGTATATGTGCTGCCAAAGCAAGCGCTGTCCATTATTTTTAAAGATGGGGGAGTGAGTGAGCTCATTTGCAGACGGAGGTTATAGAAGTAAGTTCTCTGTTGTCACACTAGCTGGAACTCACTTGGATGGACATTACTTGTGATTGACATGCTGCATCCTTTGCAAGGCACGACCACATGTAGCAGTTTTAGAGTCCACACTGCCACCATTTTCAGATGACACACCTGAAACCCTGGAAGAGTAAGAGGCATTGCCAGTAACCCAGAGGTGAGCGTAGCCACTAGCTAGGACTTTCGTTCAGACCTTTTGGTACCCAGTTCAGCAATCTTGGTACTGTACTGTACCTGCCTTTTTCATGACAGTGTGAAGTTGTCCTGGCAGTTCATAGTGTGATTACACATTTGTACAACTCCTTCCGAGGGATCAGCTCTGGTGGGCTACCACTAAACCCAGCCAGACGACATCACCTGAAGACGGGGTTGGCTCCATGGTCCATAAGCCGCACCACTCAAAGTCTCTGCACTGAGGCTGAAAACATGGAGCAGCGTTTAGAGCACGTGCTGCTGTTGCAGAGGACGTGGTTTCCCAGCAGCAGCCATGTCAGGTGACTCAGCCTCCTGGAACCAGGAACATTCTGTTCTAGCCTACAGGGGCACTGGGATATGTGTGGTACACATACATGCATGAACGTTAACACATAAAGACATCAAATAACAAATTGAAAAAGGCACCATGTCCTAATATGTTGTATTAGCCAGTAACAAAGTAGGGACATCCATGAAGCTAATGTTCTGAGTGGGATATCACCCAACATCCCCTGCTGAACAATTTTTACCTTAATTGAGAAAAGAATGTAGGGCTCATATTATGATTTAATCGGACCTGCATTATAGATGGAGTTAGCACTGTTTTTTTCCTCTGAATGATGCTTTATGTCAGTGGCTGAATTCCAATACCTAGGAATGTTTACACATTCCCACCAGTTTTATTTTATCCTTATGATCCATTTTTAGGTCCAATACATAATTTTCTTGAAATGCTAGAACCATTTCCATGTGCCGTATATAAATTGTAGTTGGCTAATAGATACAGTGGAGAGCCTTGCTGATGTCATGATGATATTTGTGCTGTGAGATCTTGAGAAATAATGCCATATATTAAGTTTATTCACATTTCTCAGTGATCAGTGCTTGAATGGACATCAAACTTGTTTTCTTGTAATGAAGTCTGTTTTTTTTTTTTTAACAAACCTAGCTTTGTTAACTCTAGGAGAGAAGTTCTTGGTCAATGGTGACAAAGTTTTAAGTCTTTGGGTTTTTTTGTTTTGTTTTGAGACAGTGTCTCACCATGTACCTCTGCCTGGCCTAGAATTCACCATGTAGATCAGGCTTGCCTCAGACTCACAAACATAGCCCTGTGATTGCATCCCAAGTGCTGGGACTAAAGGTGTGCACTGCCATGCCTGGCCAAGCTTCAATCTTTGCTTCAGTGGGACATAAACACTCCACAGATTGCCTTCTGGCCTCTGTATGTATAGTTACACACACACACACAATCACACTCATTAAACCCATGTGCACACTCATAAACCAAAATAAAATAAACAAGTGCCCATATCCTGCCGTTTGTCACATTGTTTAATGAAATAGAACTATAGTACTGGAAACTTTGAAGTTAGGACCTCTTCATCCCTTGCTTACTAGAGATTTTGGTGAGATTGTTATAAAGTTTTAGTTTCTTTATAACAAAGTCCCGAGACCTTTGGGCAGATAGATGTGATTATGACTAGGCTGTCGTCCTTTCCCAGTTTTGAGTCACTGGGAATCTGATTAGCATGCTGCCATCTGTCCTAGACATTGAAACTTTGTTAGTACTGAGCTGTTTTGTGACAGTCATGTTTCTGGGCCCCAAGGATGTACAGACATCCCGTGTTGCTGTCCTCAGTGTACTTACTCCAACAGAAAAAAGAACTCAGACAAGTTGCCCAGTCCCAAGGATACGCAGCTATCCATCCCCTGTTGCCATCCTCCGGTGCTCACTCTAAAAGAAGAAAGACCAAAGCAGAGTTGTGCTGGAGCTGTACTTGGAGCTGTAGACTATTTGCTAAATGCATGGGGAAGGACAAGTCCATTCTGCGTGACCAGGGGAGGCTGGCAGAGGCCTGTGGAATGTTGGCATGGAGCAGGTGCAGGTGTAAGACTGGCAGAGTCCTGGATGAAATGGAACATGCTGGAATTCAGGAGAGAGACACAGGACGAACAGAAGTTTCAAGGCAAGCCTTATCTTCAGTGAGTTTGAAGCCAACTTGGGTGACATGGGACTGTGTGTCAAAAACTACAGCAAAAAGAAACAAAAATGCTGGAAGAAAATTTCCAGTCGGTACAAAGAGTCAGTGACATCCGAGGTAAAGTGGAGGACTGAGAAATGAGGGGTTGTCATGGCATAGAGCTTTTGTAGTGTGTCTGAGCAGCTTCCTGCACACCGGAGTAATTAGAGCTTTGTTCTTGTTTGTAAGCTTTTAACATATGAACCATATTAGGAACGATGGTTAGCATCTTAATTTAGCAAGTATGAATGCTAACTGCATACTGCAGCCACTCCTCAGGATAGACTTTTCCATTTACTGTTAGAAACTGAATGTTAGTGCCATATAATCCATGGATTGAGTAAGCTGTTGACCAGAGCTTAGTGTGAGTGTGCGCGTGTGTGTGCGTGCATGTGTGTGTGCGTGCATGTGTGTGTGCGTGTGTGTCTGTGCATGCGTGCGTGTGTGTGTGCATGTGTCTGTGCGTGTGTGTCTGTGTGTGTGCATGTGTGTGTGCGTGCATGTGTCTGTGCATGTGTGTCTGTGTGTGTGCATGCATGTGTGCGTTCGTGTGTGTCTGTGTGTGCTTGTGTGCATGTGTGTGTGCTTGCATGTGCGTACGTGTGTGTCTGTGCGTGCATGTGTGCATGCATGTGTGTGCACGCACGTGTGTCTGTGCATGTGTCTGTGTGTGCCTGTGTCTGTGCGTTTGTGTATCTGTGCGTGTGTGCGTGCATGTGTGTGTATGCATGCGCACATGCATGCTCCTGTTACATGTCAGTGCGTGTATGGGTGTGCCGGTGCAGGCAGAGGGCCACTCAGGCTTGTTCACGTCCTAGCTGTGCTTGCACTATCACTGCCCAGCTTCCAGGAAATCCCAAACCGCTGGACTCCTCTGTCTTTCTTGCAGTGACTTTGGGGCTCAGGTAGCCCTTTCCCACCTCTGGTTGGCCATGTAGTCCTCGTCATCCCTGATTGCTCTGTGTCTGCATAGTTCTGTGCAGTACCATAGTTGTTACTGCAGCAAGCGCCTGAGCTCAGCCCTCCCCTTGGGACTCCGTTTGGCTTGAGGTTTCAGAGTGCAGTTTGTAGTCATGTTACTCCATTGCCTTTTGTCCTGCAACACATGTACCACATAAAGGGCCGGTGGCAGAGGAAGGTGTCCACTCCAACGTGTCTGGGACAAGTTACATAGAAAGGAAGGGGAAAGGTCCCTTTCAAGGACACACCTCCAGTGACCAGTGCCTAAAAGCTCCCCATTTCCCAGGAGTGAGGTACCAAGTGTAGAGGGGACCTTTAGTAGGTTCCTCAGGATTAACCTATAGCTGCCTTTTAAAAGATTTTATTGCACTATCTCTTGCTGCTTGGATCCATTTAGCAAATTCCAGAAGGGAGTGTGACCTGCAGAGCACACATCTGAGTCCTCTGGGGTATGGCTGTGGCTCTTCCTTCTCAGCCAGAGAAAATATCTCTGTGATGGACCTGGGTGGTTCTTCTCTCTTCTGCTCAGGCTAGTTTTCCCCCCATGTTTCCTGTGATGATTCCAAATACGAATATCATGTTTTAAGGAAACGGTGGAATGATGTAGGCCAAACAACTTGCCTGTGTGTGTATGGTCCATGAGCTGTGGACAGTTAGTACATTTCTCAGTTTGATATAATTTAAAGAATAGTATTTTGTATCAAGTGCAAATTACATGAAAGTTAACAAAATCCATTTTGGAATCCAGTATCATCCATTTATCTAAGTTTTTTTTCTAACGTTTCTTGTTAGAGTAGCTGCATAAGACAGCGTGTGGCCTACAAAGAATGAAATAGTTACTATCTGGCCCTTTACTGGGAAGAAAAGCACATCTTAAAATAAATTTAGGTTTTCATTTCAGTAATACATCCAGGCTCATAGTGATTGGGAATCAAATTTTCTATTCTATATTGCTATAACAAAATACCAGAGGCTGACTTACAAAGTAAAGAAGCTTATTGGGTTCACGATTCTGGTGTCTTTAGGGTCCTAAAGCTACTGTGCTAGTGGCCTCACTTTGTCTGCATCTGTGGCACTGACCACGCCCATTGGGGGTGGAGCCAGGGGCGGAAGTGACCTGGGGAACTAGGTCTGAGGAGGAGCCCAGGAAGTTGCTCTTGCTGGCCGGTCGCAGAGAGGAGAGCATCTGGTGGAACCTGCTGGTGTTCATCTGTCTAGGTTGTGAGTTATTTCTCCCTGATTAAACATCTGTTCGGCCTAATTGTTTATCCTGAGCCTTATTAAACCACGATAGAGCCAGACACCCACGAGGGTTGTCTGTAGGAAGGGAGCTAGAGAAATTCAGGAGAGGCGCCCGCGCCACACTTGATGAGCTCTAACCACCAATGTGCAAGGTCCTGCTCTCCTAACAGAGGGAACAGAACACCATCCCGTCCATTTGTGAGGCAGAGTCTTGTGTAGTGCAGGCTGGCCTCAAACTCACTACATAGCCAAGAATGACCTTGAACTTTTGATTACCCTGTCTATGTCTGAAGTGCTAATGTCTGCCGCCATGCTCAGTTTATGCCTTTCTGGGGATTGAACCCAGGACATTGTTAGTCAAGCACTCTACCCACTGAGCTACATTCTCCCATCCTTTGAAGACCTAAGCACCTCCCACCCTTTAAACATTCTACCCTCTCTCAACCCCGCCAGACTGGAACCAAGCTTCCCACACCAGTACCTTTGAGTGATATGCA